ATTACAAGTTCCATCATGCCTCTGCAAGTCAGTAACTTCCCATCTTTGCAATGCCTCATGGGAAATGTAGTTCCACAACAGCTGGAGAGCCACAGGTTAGCCACTCCTGATCTACTGTATCCCAACAATCACCCAACTGTAGGAGGTACAAGATGAAGCTCACAAGCAAACTAAACTGGAGCCTATCCCCATGCAGTGCCCCCTGGTGACAGAAATATTATTTATCATTGTAAAATAACATTTCACACTTTTTCTTTTTTGCCAATTTTTTCAGAGAAAAAACAAAAAACAGTTCTGAAAGAAATGGGGGGGGGACATATATTTTTCCCCAATTTTTCCTTTTTTTCCCCCCAAGCCTTCCTATCTCTAGTTCTGCCCACTCCTGCCAGCAAGCCACTCATATTCAATCAGCAACAAGTGAACAGTGTAGCAGTGCAAAAGACACTGGGGACTGTAGTCTATGAGGAGCACTGCATAATGCAAATGGATAGGGGTTTGGACTATAAGGTCTGCAGTGCCCTGCCACAAGGAAGAGGAGAGCACAGCGTTTTTCCTGGCAAAATTACCAGAGATGGGGCAGACAGCACAGGGAACTGGACAGTGCAGATCTGCTGCTGGGGTCTGTACCCTGCTTCAGAGAGGACAGATTCTGTATGGAACGGGGTATCCATACTGTGTTTTAGAGCCAAAGGACAGAGCTCATGAGGACCCGAATAAGAGACTAAGCCACAGAGAGAGATACTGTATTTTGGAACCAGATCTAGAGAGACCTGTTGCTTATGCCAGTGAAAGGCTGAGTTCTCTGAGAACCTGATTTTGAAGACTGAGACTTCCTGGACAACTGATCGCCAAGTTGTCAGGGCAGGAGCTGTGGAACGGATAGGCAGGCCTAATGGCAGGGTCACGCACTGACTGACGACAACCACCAACCACAGACCGGAGTCCCTCAGGGTGCGGAGTCTAAGTCCCAGGCTGCCCTTCACCAGGGCCCCTGATGGTGGGGATGGACTTGACGCAGCCAGGGACCAGGTCGCGGCCCCCGAGACACCCTAGCTGCGGTAATGGCCGCCGCCAATGGCGTGTAGCTGGTAGGAACCAGATAAGACAATAGCGTAGTCGTGCAGGCCGGGTCGATAACAACGGGACAGACAGTACAGAATGGTAGACAAGAATAACAGGTCACAAGCCGGGTTCAGCGACGGGAGGTCAGATAAATGGATAACGCAGAGAATAGTCTAGTCAAAATCCAAGTCAGTTTCCAGGAGAGCCACGAGAGTAGAAACAGAGCTTGTTGCAACACGAACACACAAGACACGAATGCAAAGAGCACGTACGGACAACAGGCTTATATGTGATCAACCACACCCCTCTGGGGGATGGACCGCAGAGGCCTGAAGGCATAAAAGACTCCCACCATGCTCTGCAGAAACCCAAGATGGATGCCAGCACATGGAGCAGCATAACCTCTGGGAAAAGGTAGGACCTTGACACAAGTGTACTGAATCTGATCCGTTGCATACCAGGAGTGGTGAGTGGGACTGCCGAGTTTAACCCCTTGTTGCTCACAGTTAAAATTGAGACTGCCCTTACTTAGCAGCCAATCAGCCATTCCTTGTGTACAGCTATATGTGCACCACTTACAGAGTGGCCCCAATGAAAGTCGGCCAACATTGACAATTAGTCTCCAGGTACTTTGCAGTCACCTCCAGAAGTAACCCATTGTTGGGGACACATACACCTACCCACTAAAGGGCTGTACTCAGAGACACTTTTTTGGTAGCTATGAATGAGCATTACAGTTAGGTTTTTTTTAAGCTATTCATGCTTTCACAGCTGATGCTATTTTTACTGATACTGTGTAAACTAGTGCAATGAGGCTAAAACTTTATTGCGGAGTAAGCTAGTGGACATGAGTGAGGCTAACCCGCTCATCAGTTAATCTAACATATTCTATTGTTCTGTTTTTGTTTTATGCATTTCATTTGCTAACCCAATAGTATATTCATCCTAATATTTCTCCAGTTGCTTGTGGTCCATTTTCTATGTACTATCCGAGAGCAGTGCAATATTAATGCTTAAGCTAGAGAGGTGTGAGTAATGCTATAACCAGGTGTGTTGGAGAGGACTCAGCAGTTTCAAGAATCGAGGCAGAGAACAGCAGACCCATCATACCAAGTGACTCCTTCAGTGGCAACGCTACAATGATATTGTTTACTGTCGCTTTAAGCCCCTTTACACCTGGTCATTTAGAGGTGCCTCAATGTTCATCATGTAGATTTCCATTATAGTCTATTGTGCCCATTCGCATATAGGTATGCTAATGTCACGGAAAACTCAGAAATACAGGAGCTTCTTTGGGACATAGTCATGTTCCCCAATAGATTCCAACAGGAGTGCCTAGATAAGTATGTAATTCACCTAACAACCATCTCCCCATCCTAGAAACCATCTTTCTATTGGCTTACACAAAATTACTTAAGCCTAAAAATGAGTGAAAATGGTATGTACAAACACACAAAAATAGTGTGAAAAATAACCAAAGATGTGATTGTAAACCTACTGGGAGTCCCATGAACTAACATGTTGGCAACACTGTGGGGAGAAAAGTAAGGTAGTTATTTAAACATCTTTAAAAGGTGCATTACGTTGTGGCAGAACTTTTATTTTGAATGGGCTGGGGGCACACCTTAAAACATAGAAAAACACACTTTCAGCTTTTTCATCAATGCAGTACACCACAATGCAGCAATGTGTATTGGCAGCTCCTGTACTAGTGTGTTAGGGTGCCTTGTGTTTTACTGCGTAATACCACAACACACCAGTGTAAATAGGTCCTTAAGTGGAGAGAGTGATGGATTAAAGCAATAGAGGGCTTTGGGTCTAAAAGGGGACTTTGAGAACAATGCATTTAATAAAATACCATTAGGTCCATTAGAAGCAAGAGTGGTGACTTATGTCCTCTAAAGTATTAGCTCCTGAAGGTTGCATAATGATGTGCTCAATCTTTCACTGGGAGATTTCCATTTAGCCGTTAATAACAATGGCAGGAAGTTATACATAACATGTAGGTTTTTTCCTTGTCTTTTACAATAGCTAATTCACTCAATTTGCACCATTTTACCAGCTCAGAGAACATTCACCTTTTATATTCACTGCAAGATGGAAAAAACATTCCACCTGCCTTCTGGGCCTCCATTGTAGCTCTAGCAAAAAAGAAAAACCTCACTTCACCCATTTAGTTGGCTGTCTACTGACAGCTACACTGTGAATCTGTACTATTTCACATCTCCGTGACATGCATTCCAAGATTGTTCTCTTTTATTGCTCTGTCTAATTTTCCCAGGCTCAATTTATGCAAGGTGACTTTTAGTTTAGTAACAGATTCACAGAAATGGATGACAAGTATCCTGTTAACTTGCTTACTTACACTAAACACATGCATGATAAAGAATGTATCTATCTGTGGATATATCTTTAATGCCTCATGCACATGGCTGTTTGTACCCAAAGAGTATGAAAAATAGGTGTTTTTGTGTGTCAGAGAGGCAAAGGTGCAGTGTACAGCCTGCTGCCAGTAGCCTGTCAAACTCAATGACAGGTTGTAATACAGCTGTGCGCTATTGTATGCAGTTCTGAGCAGTACTTGTGTAGAAGGCCATACATATGCAGGAATATATGTCCTGAATGCAGATATTCTGCATGCTGTAATCAAACTTTAATAACCATGGTCATAAAAAATGTATCTTTATAGCATGGCTTGACAAATCCAAGGTGCCAGATCGCCATGGTGACTAGAAATTGTGTCCTGGCACCTGGGATTTTGTCAGCCCATTCACTGTTGCTGGGATGCACAATTTGTATCGCCAGACGCCTAGGGCATGCACTTCAGGACACACGTCTGCTCTCCTCCCACATCTTTTTCCTGGCCCGGAAGTGACCAGTATGATGTCACTTCTGAGTCCACGTTTATACTTCCCCAGCCAGCATGGCAGGGAAAGAATGTAACACAGTGTGATCTGCTCTTCATTACATTCATTGGAGCACAGGGGAGATATGCAGGTTCTTTTAGACCAGCGGTTCTCAACCTGTGGGTCGCGACCCCATTGGGGGTCGAACAACCATTTCACAGGGGTCGCCTAAGACCATCGGAAAACACATATTCCTCTCCAAGCTCCACCTCCTCGCCGGTGATTGGCCGCCTGTGAGCCTCTTCTGAGCTACAGTTCCGGTGGCCAATCACCGGCGAGGAGGCGGAGCTGTTGAGTGATCCCGGAGGTGTGGCCAGGTGACAGGGGCAGCATGTCATCCCGCCCACACATCGCCTGAGACGGATAGAGGAGCGGTGTCTCGGTTCCTAAGACCATCGGAAATATGTGTTTTTCCGATGGTCTTAGACCCAAAGGGGTCGCGACCCACAGGTTGAGGACCGCTGGCGTAGATCAAAGAAGATTGAGTGAGGGAGCTTCCGGAGCGAGTGAAGAGGAGAGCGGCCAGAGAAGGAAGACAGCTGATCGGTAAGATCGGTACCGTGCAAATTTTGCTGCTGCAGCCAGGTATGCTGGCTGTAGATGGGAGAGGGAGGGAGGGAGCCCAGGCTGGAGCAGGGGTCAGCAAGGTAAGTATCATTGGTGTCAGTGGGAGGAATAGTGCCCCATCATTGGTGTCATTAATTCCAATGATGGGGCACTATTTCTCCCACACATACACCAACGATGGGGCACTATTCCTCCCCCCACTGACACCAACGATGGGGCACTATTCCTCCCCCCACTGACACCAATGATGGGGCACTATTCCTCCCCACACTGACTCCAACTATGGGGCACTATTCCTCCCCCCACTGACACCAATGATGGGACACTATTCCTCCCCCCACTGACACCAACAATGGGGCACCATTCCCCCCCTGACCCCAATGATGGGGCACTATTCCCCCCCCCACCACACTGACATCAATGATGGGGCACTATTCCTCCCACACTGACACCAATGATGGGGCACTATTCCTCCCCCGATACCAATGAAGGGGCACTATTCCTCCCACTGACACCAATGATGTGGCACTATTCCTCCCACTGATACCAAAGATAGGCCACTATTCCCCACAGACACCAATGATGGGGCACTATTGCTCCCACAGACATCAATGCTGGGACACTATTCCTCCACTGTCACCAATGATGGGGCACTATTCCCACCCCCCCTGACACCAATGATGGGGCACTATTCCCCCCCCCCCCCACACACACACTGACATCAATGATGGGGCACTATTCCTCTCACACTGACACCAATGATGGGGCATTATTCCTCCCATTGATACCAATGATGGAGCACTTTTCCTCCCACAGACACCAATGATGGGGCACTATTCCTCCACAGACACCAATGCTGGGACACTATTCCTCCCACTGATACCAATGATGGGGCACTATTCCTCCCACTGAAACCAACGATGGGACCACTGTTTTAGACCTTGCATGTTTCATTAAGAGAACCTGTCACCAAAAAATCATCATATGGGGACTTTTTATTCCCTATGTGATGAACTAAAAAAGTTAAGTAAAAAAAAAAGTCACACCCAAGCACATAAAATCCCCCCCCCCAAAAAAAACAAATTTTTTGAGGCACCCCCCCCCCATATATACGCACGTACAAACTTAAAAAGCACGCATTGGGGCGCCGACGCATGAAAATGTCAATTGCCAATACACATATCGCCACACACACACTGGATGAGGACATAATTCTAGCACCAGACCTCAGTAATGCTAAACTGATGACCTACAAAGGGTTTTTAAAGCATCGCCTATAGAAAATATAAGGTACTGAAGTTTGGCTCCTAGATTTAAAGCAAATTTGTCAAGCACTGCTTTATATACCAGAAACATGTTAGCCTGGCTATTCACTCTATGCTATTTACAAAAAATGCAGCCTTTTGGTGTGATGCCTTTGACAGTGGCATGATGTATGAAGCTTGCTATGACTGTTCTTTAAGTCTGAGTGGGTTGAAAAGTCTTCATCAACAATCAGCTAGCCATGATCATAATTGTAGGAGATGTCATCACAATAAAACACGTGGGCTGATTTTTTTGTAGATTGGGTTTGCAATTACTTAATCTACCATGACTGCTTACTCACGTTGAGCTTTAGATCAACTCATACAGCAGAAAACTGAAAAGAAATATGGAGAAATAAAGATGGTAGCAGGCAAGCAGCAGATAAAACAATGTTAATTAGGCAGGACATTTAGGTGATTGTTTCTCCTTTGGATACCTGCTAATCAAATAGATCCACACTTGTGGTTGGGGAGAGGGTGACCAGTGTTACCACCTCTCCAACTTCTCCCCCTTCAGCTGCAAAGGCAGCCGAGGGGGACGTTTGGGGGGTTTGTACACATAATGCAACGGTGATGCCCTCTCTTCCCCCCGTTGTGCTCGTGGGGCAATGCTGCTTGCTAAACACGATTGCACAATACACACATTTGTTTCACAGTGTTGCAGGTTTTTAGAGGTTAAAACAGGTGGTGACAAGGCTAACACTAGTGTAAACTAGCCCTAAATGTGTGGGGATCGGGACTGATATTTACCATCCTTTTCTTCTAAATAAATTATCTGTAGGTCTGAGCCAGAAGATAATAAACAATTATCAATGATGAAAGACCTACATTTAATGTATTGTTAAAGTTTATGATTAGTCAATTTTTGTATTTCCTTAATGGAGCTCCAGACAGCAATAAAACCTGATAGGAGTTCTAATATTTTCTTTCTTAATCCAAAACTAAAAAAAACACTTTTTGTTTTGACATGCAGAAGTCCATAGGCAGCAAGATGCATCTCATCTTGTTCAGTATATAGTTGAGTAGGGGTAGGGGCGGTAAAATGGTCTTGCACAGAGGTCCTTTGGTTACTATACCCGCCACTGAGAAGCACACATGTTGTTAGAATGATAGTTTGAAAAATAATTGTTTGGGAGGTCAGGTTGTGTCTGTATATCTGACTCTCCTCTGATGTCTCAGGCTAATTTAGGGTGCATGATCATAAGCCATCAAGAGGTGCAAGTAATGAGATCAACTGACACATTGCTTGAAACTGTGGTCTCTAAACTGCAGCCCGGGGGCTAGATGTGGCCCTTTGCTGCCTTTATTTGGCCCTTGGGACACTATTCCACCAACTAATACCAGTGATAGGGCACCATTCTGCCTACTGGCACCATCAATGGAGCACTATTGCTACCATTAAAACCAATAGGGCACTGATGCTGAGGCATTTTCTGCTCCCACTGACAACAATCTGGCCCTCCCTAAAACCTGAAGGACAGTAAACCACCCCTTTGCTTAGATAGTTTGGAGACCCCTGGCTTAAAATAATAAAGTACAGTTGTGTCCAAAATTATTCAACCCCCACTGAAATTGAGTGTTTTGGCCAGTTTGACATTGCTTTTGATCATTCAGTCATCTTGCTTACATTTACATTAAAGAGGCACTTGTAGGTCAGACAAATATAACATAACAGTTATAATGAAATAACCACAAATGTCTTTTCTGTGCTCACAGCATTATCAGTTTTATTCAACCCCCAAGTGACATTCAATCTTAGTACTTAGTACAGCATCCTTTTTACAGTTATAACAGCTTTTAAACGTGAAGCATAGCTTGACACAAGTGTCTTGCAGCGATCTACGGGTATCTTCGCCCATTCTTCATGGGCAAAGGCCTCCAGTTCAGTCACATTCTTAGGCTTGCGCACTGCAACTGCTTTCTTTAAGTCCCACCAGAGGTTCTCAATCGGATTTAAGTCTGGTGACTGCGATGGCCACTCCAAAATGTTCCAGCCTTTCCTCTGCAACCATGCTCTAGTGGACTTGGAGGTATGCTTGGGATCATTGTCCTGTTGAAAGGTCCAACGTCTCCCAAGCCTCAGGTGTGTGACGGACTGCATCACGTTTCCATCCAATATCTCCTGGTACTGAAGAGAATTCATGGTACCTTGCACACGCTGAAGCTTCCCTGTACCTGCAGAAGCAAAACAGCCCCAAAGCATGATTGACCCTCCACCATGCTTCACAGTAGGCAAGGTGTTCTTTTCATCATAGGCCTTGTTCTTCCTCCTCCAAACATAGCGTTGATCCATGGGCCCAAACAGTTCTAATTTTGTTTCATCAGTCCACAGAACACTATCCCACAACTTTTGTGGTTTGTCCACATGGCTTTTGGCATACTGCAGTCGACTCTTCTTATTCTTTGGAGACAGCAAGGGGGTACGCCTGGGAGTTCTGGCACGGAGGCCTTCATTACGCAGTGTGCGTCTTATTGTCTGGGCTGAAACTTCTGTACCCACATCTGACAAATCTTTTCTCAGTTCCTCAGCAGTCACACGGGGACTTCTCTCCACTCTACGCTTCAGGTAGCGCACAGCAGTCGAAGTCAGCATCTTCTTTCTGCCACGACCAGGTAGCGTTTCAACAGTGCCCTTTGCCTTGAATTTGCGAATGATGCTTCCTAAGGTGTCTCTTGGTATGTTTAACATCTTTGCAATCTTCTTATAGCCATTGCCCTTCCTGTGAAGAGAAATCACCTCTTCTCTTGTCTTCCTGGACCATTCTCTTGCCTTCACCATGTTTGTAACCACACCAGTAAATGTCTAGAAGGAGCTGAGTATCACAGTCATTTTAAAGCTGCCTAATTGGTGCTTATTATGCTTGATTGCTGCTCGGTGACATCCACAGGTGTTTTCAATACCTGATGGAAAGCACCTGTATGAACCTCTGTTCTTCAGAGTGGTAGTCTTTAAGGGGTTGAATAATTGTGGCAATGAAGAAACCACATAAGAACCATTTACTACTGTATTACATAAACAATTGATGTCATTTTAGTTGCATTTGGGTAGTTACAACGTCCTTGTAGGATTTGATTCTGAATACAATTCCAAATGTACACTATAGTCCCTAAACCCCTTTACAGCATTGGGGGGTTGAATAATTTTGGACACAACTGTAAATACTAAGACATAATGTAGTTCATTAGATGATGAAAACAACCACTTATATTTGTCAATATTGCTCATTGTAGCACATAAGATTTAAACAAATACTGGAAAATCTCTATGTGGATGAGCAATATTTTATTATTTTTTTATGGAAAGTAGAAAATAAATATCTCACCACATACATACTGCAATTACACATCTGCTGAGATGTTTGCAGTGTGTTGTGTTGCACTAGCCATTCTCAACCAAGGTTTCTCTAGAGGTTGCTAGGGGTTCCTTGAGCTGTGGGTGTTTGACCTCCCACTAATGATGCCTGTATTGCAAGTAGCCAGTAGCATGACATCGGTTATCTTTTTTTAGCTGTCTGAAAGGGTAGCATTCTGACTACCGCATTAAGGGTTGCTTTCTTTCTATTTACCACCAATGTAAGGACCAGTTTTGTCATTGACCTCTGAACTAAACTAGTTTTAGTAAGGTTCGACAAAACCTGAAAATTATTTTAGAGGTACTTCAGGGGTAAAAAAGGTTGACAAAGACTGCTCTAGAGGCATTGGGGACAGATATTCCATCTCTTTTCCTTTATCATCTGCCCATCTATAGCCAACAGTTAATTGTTAACTTACAGATAGGCATTTGATAGCCGGTGGTATGTATGCTTATTTTTCTGGAAATGATTGTGAGATCTTTTTCATATATTAACTATAGGTTAACACTTACTTGGCTAAATCTAAGCAAAGTATTTAAAATAAGAAGTAGAGTGAAATGGATTTCTTGGAGGAGAACAAAGATTAGTAGTGAAAATTTGACTTGCTTTCACAGCTCTGTGCAGAAGTTTAATAAAGGTGTCATGCCGTACCTTCTTTATATATGAAACTTGCTTTATACCCAGACATCTTGTAGAGCTTAACTACCTTGTAGGCAATCAAATGTCTTCTTATATAACAAGTATAATGATGTTTCCAGTGGTGCCATGTTAAGATTTTTGTAACAGGCACAAAGTTGGATACCACTGCTTTTGCTGTTTCCACCCACTGTAATCCATGTAAAGATCCCACACTTATGTTTCCTTCTAGATATATATAAAGAATGTCCTAAATACATAAACATTAGAATCATGCACCACTTTGGGATGCTAGTCTAGAGCACAAACAAACCAGTGCCATAAAGTATCTGCTCTACACATACCACAATACTCCACAAATACCACACAACCAGGGGCGGACTGACCATTTGGAAACTCGGGCACTGCCCGAGGGCCCGGGGTCAGTAGGGGGCCCCATGAGATGCCCCTGGTACCTTTTTCATAGGCTTTTTTGAGTTTGGGCAAGGACACAGGGGCCCCATGATCCCCTATTGCTCAGGGGCCCTATGAGTTGTCAGTCCGCCCCTGCACACAACATTAAAAGTGGCCATTTATGTCAAATTTCAATCCATGTATTAGGCAAGTTGGTTGTACAGAAGTGGATCTAC